TTTCTGAAGTTTCTCAAGAAGAAAACCATGGTATAGGGAATCACCATTTTCTTTTGGGTGTCCTCGTGAACTAGTGATAGAGAGAAATTTAGAGAAAACATGATCTTTACAACATGGCAGCATAACTATTCCCTGGGTACTTAAGGTGGAGGAGGAGCGTAATCCACACAGACAACTGTAATAGTTCTGCAAAGCCTGCTTTTCCTTATATACAAAAACCCCAGTGATGTAATGATGAACCTAAAGTAATTACAGGATTTCTTAAGCATCTTCTCTCCTGTCAGCAACAGGTAAGTGGACGCAATCCCCCATACTGCTAGTTTATACTCTAGATTAGATGGGGATTATAGTTTTCACATTCTTTTTGTTTGGTTTTTTTTTTAGGGGGGGGGGTGTTGCTGTTTGTTTGTTTGCTTTTCTGGACTTGGAGCTAGCTTGGAGATAAAAATGGTTTCTGTACCTAGCTCAGCATCCAGATAGCATGCTATCCATTTTTAGCCTGGTAGGCTATATGAAAACAAGGTTTATGCAATCACCCTGTCTCTTTCTCTGTGTCCCAAGTTCCAGTAACTTTGAAGGTGTTAGCCAGTTTCAGCTGAGTTTGAGAGATAATATCGGTCATACAAATTTCATAAAAATAGATAACCAGGCAGAGGAGACACTGGGGATTGAACATTTAGGAGTTAACACCTAGTAACTTTCTATCCAGTCAGCAAATTTCTACAAATTTCCATTTCTGAACATAGCATCCTGCATGTTGCTGCCAAAACGCTCTGCAGAAGGAGATGCTAGGTATATGCAGTCGTAACAGAAAATGTTATTATAATTCAGATAAATAGTCAGCCAACCGAGAGGCAAATCCATAGGAAATCAGGCTTCATGACCTTCAGTGTTCACAGAACTAGTAGTTTATATTTCTGAAGGATGAAATAAATGTGGGTAGTCTGAAGTTTCTTCAGATAACTAATACTAGTGGGCTATTATTCATCGTGGGGGGAAAATTAGAAGTAAATATAACTCTTTGCTGGTACTTCTAAGGTCTACATCTTTCGCAGGTGCTCACAGGACCTGGGAGGCTGCATACCGGCACAATTGGCTGCTACAGGGATTGCTAACTTCAGCCCTTTCAAGAACCTGACTCACATCATATCCCAGCCACAAAACTCAACTTGAAACCAGATTCATCACTTGGATTTCTTCCCTGATGCACTATCGGAAGTATAAACTGCACCCGTTTTGTGATTTATGAGAACTAAGAGCTTGTATTACTTGCAGCTGTCCTATAACTCAGTCCAAAGGTGATGATCTCAGCTTCTCTTGTTTATGCCATCCGAGTGTTTCCATTTCATACCCCTCCTACTAGCACTAGTATTGCGTACCACCCCTCTACCATGCATTTCTGAACTGATTAATTTCTGTGTCTGTGTTGAAGCATGCAATCCTCATCTAGACATTATCTATTCAGTTCCTGAACCAGCAATATTGGATGTTGTGCAGTCTGTACTTCCTTATTGTGAAATACCCTTTCCATAATCACAGGAACCCTGTCTTGATTAGCCCAAGCTCAGTGGCCCATTTCAGTAACACTTTTAAGCACCTCATCACATATTTAAGCACTTCTAATGTCCTTCTAATGTGTACATCTTCTTATCACATATTTTTAATGTTTTTCAAGCCTGCATAGTGGGTGTGACATTTTACCTTTATATTATTGTTTATTCTCAGTTTTCATTGCATTACTTTAGCCTATAGCAAATAAATGATATTTAAGGTGAGCTTGAGAATTTATGGATGAGCTTGAGGCCACTAATGGGTAAGCCAGATCCTTCCAGTGTTTCAATTTCTCTTTCTAATATGATATCTTTAACATGTACTTTCTAAGTGGAAATAACACAAAGCAAACAGATATCCAGAGATATTTTCCTTTCCATCATGACAGCTTTAAAGAGAAAAAAAAAACCAACGACATTCTGTTTGTGTCAAAGCTACAGAGGAAAAGCTATGGCAAATAGTGAGAAGTCTTTAACAGGAAACATCTCTATTGATTACAGTAACAGAGAACTATCTCTAAAGCCCATGCTGATTTCAACTGTTTCTTCTATCGTAGCAAGGGAAACACCCTCTCAAGTAACCTTGTAACATCCTTACCTGCATGGGGCCTTATAGATTAGTTTGAGGGCTGGAAGTATTGGGTAAAAACTGCTGCAGTCTAAGGTACAAAATGCTGATTTGATCAAAATCTCCATGCTAATTACAATTTGCTAGGAATATTTTTATTGAATAAATTTGTATTGAAAGAATTTGTTAGACTGAATAACTTTGAGTTGCCAGAACTCAGTATGACCTCCCAAAGCTGTTCCAAAAACCTTTTTGGTAGACCTTTTCTGGCACGTCCCCTGTTGTGTGATGATTTAGGTGAATGTGCCTGGCTGCCACTATTGTTTAAAACAATTTAAAAGGCAAAGACTTGGTGTTCTCACTTTCTGTTTGGACAGCTGGAAGCTATGACTATTTTTTACACTGCGCTTTGTGCTCCTTGGATCGATATAAAGTTGAGTCAGAACCAAAAGCCAATAGCCAGTGAAACTAATAGCCAGGCCTGAGCCTACCAAATTCACATCATTTGGCATTTGCTGGTGCTCTAAAGCAAGATACAAGCTCCACATACGTCCTGAGCATGCCAGGGATCTGTTCAAGGTATCTTACACACACCGTTTTATAGTTAGGAACCCACAAAGTACCATGGTCAATCTTGCTGCACAGAGAGCTTTGTACAGGCACCTCAGGAACCTTGAACAGTGATGGGCCAAAGACTCAGATGAAGGTCTGCCAAAGGAACAAGGGACGTGCCAGCTTTTGCCAATACTGTCAGGAGCTTGATCATGCCTGGCTAGAGAAGTAGAGTCAAGCCACCAGCAAGCAGCATGCAGGACGCTCCTTTACTTGAACTGGATAATGAAAGCTAGCTACTATTGCTAGCCAACAGCTCTTAAACTCCCAGGAAGTTCCACGGATAAATGGAATAAATGGGCTGGCATTGGCCCAGGTAAAGATACGTGCAGACCTTTTTTCTCTGAGCACATGTTTTGGTGGGGGAAGGTTATTTTCTGTGCTGACCATTTCCTGGACCTGCAGCCAGGTGCCGGGCATGCTGCCGGCAGGGCCGTACTGCAGGTGGCCTCACACCTGCACAGGCCCTGGGTGGCTGCTGGAGGCAGCCTGTCTCCTCCCGGCCTCTGGAGCAGCCTGGCGCCCTGCCCCAGCCTCGTGATCACCCCAAGCTGTCATAAGGACCTCGATTCCTTACCCTCTCCCTCGAGCCCTACCCCTGTGCTTGCCCTTGCACTTTGATACGTGGGGTGAATCACAGGGTTTCCCCCAGCCTGAGTCATTCCTGCAGCTGGGACGAGGCTCCCAAAGCAGGCAGAGCTCCTCCCTGGTCCCCCAGGCTCCTTCATCCCACGCTGTGTCCCCTCTGTGCAGCTCTCGTCCCTTTGCTGTCCCCACATCCTCACACAGCAGTGGTCTCCCGTGTTGCCATAGTCACTGGGTAGTGGTTTTCACGGACCAGATGCCGGCACGCAATGAGCAAAAATCACAAATTATTCACTTCCAATGTACTTCATTTTGCTCTGGCAAATCGCTTGGAGAACACCTCACTGCCCATGCCCTGAATAAACATCAGCTGTACAAGCAACCTTGCGTAATGTGACATGAGTTATAAAACTGAATTGCAGCGGTAGCGCGTCTCGTTTCTTACACCTCTTTTGCTGACCTGCCATAGCTTCCCTTGCTCGAGCATCTCATTTCCCCCGGAGCAGAGTGTGGTGAACTGCTTCCACCGGAGCTATCACCGAACAGGGAACAGAAAGTAACGACGGTGGCTGTGAAGGTACCGCGAAGTAAACTCACTTGCGGGAAGAAAAAGCCCCGCTTTTTTTCCTGTGATTAACGCAACGCAGAGCTTATGTGGAGCACACAACCGCAGGCAGAGCAGCGGACGATTGCTGACAGCGAAACGTAGGGAGGAAACCCGCTCTGCCCTCCGTCCCTTAGCTGCGGAGAGGGGCTGCGGCGTCTCCTGATTTCCCCTTCCCTTACCCTTGCTTCTACCCCTACCCTGGGGCCCGGGGCCCGGGGTGCGGGAGCACCTCTCACCCCTCAGACCGGGCACCGCCTCACGCTCGGGACGGCGGTTTCTGTGCGG